TGGCCATCCTCTTGTGCCCCACATTTTCCCCTATGTCATGAAGCTGGGTAAGTACAGGTCTTGCAGGCCTGCAGGGTGCAGCCCAACGCATATTGTCTTATATAATCTTCACAGCCTTGGCAATGATCTCATTTCCCTTTTACAGATGGGGAACAAAAGCCTTGGAGAAGTTAAATAAGACTGCATGGCAAAGAATCAAATCCAGGTCTGTCTGGTTTGCAAAGCTAGAGTTCTTTCCCTATTTCTATGTTTGTTAGACACTAGTGGAGGAGTGGGAAAAGAAAGGAAAAAATTGAGCACTCCATATATTGTCTCTATATACAAATACTAGCCCATTGCTGGCATCATCTACCAATTTTTTTGGCCATTTAGAGACATTCATTGGCTCACAAACTTTAGGTGATAGATTTACACACACATACACAATGTATTTCTTGAAAAATAAGAATGATATTCTGCCAAGAATCACTGGGGGAAAAAATCTAAACAAAATTGACTCTGCCCAATGAATTAGAACACTGACTTCAGTGCATAATATTTCTTCTGTGCCTTCTAAATCATTTTTGCAGAAAACTATGTTAACATTTTACATTAGGGAAGCCGAGATTTCTAATTCTATTTGGGCTTTCTCTGGTTGAACTAAATATATGGTTGCACTTGTTTGCTCTAGACCAGTGGTTCTCAAAGTGTGGTCTGTGGACCTGGGGGATCTCTGAGACCCTTGCAGGGGTGCCCACAAAATTATTATTTTTATAATAATACCAAGATGCTATTTGCCTTTTCTCTGTGTTGAAATCTGCGCTGTGACACAACAATGATGGGTAAAACTGCTGGTGTCTTAGCATTAATGAAGGAAGTGGCACCAAACTGTACCAGTACGAAAGGTCCACTGATTTTAGAGAATGGAAAGACATGCCACAGATGGGGACAAAGTATTTACAAAATGCATATCTGATAAAAGACTAGTGCCCAAAGTATACAAAGAACTCTTAAAACTCAACGATAATAAACAACCCAATTTAAAAAATGAGTATAAGACCTCAAAAGACACCTCACCAAAGAAAATACACAGATAGCAAGTGAGCATATGGAAGATGCTCAGCATGATATGTCATTAGGGAATTAAGGCACTGTGAATTAAAGCAGTAAGATACTACTATATACCTATTAAATAGCTAAAATCCAACAAACTGATCGTACTAAATGCTGGCAGGGATGTGGAACAACAGGAAATCTCATTCATTGTTGGTAGGAATGCAAAATGGTACAGCCACTTTGGAAGATAGTCTGGCAGTTTCTTACAAATATAAACAAGACTTACCAGAGAACCAAGCAACCACGCTCCTTGATATTAACACAAATGAGTTGAAAACGTATGTTCACACAAAAACCCACATACAAATGTTTCTGATCACTTTGTTCATCATTTCCAAAAACTGAAAGCAACCAAGATGTCCCCAAAAGGTGAATCGATAATAAACAGTAATACACTCATCAATGGAATATTACCCAGCTATAAAAAGACATAAGCTATCAAGGCATGAAAAAGACATAAAGGAATATTAAATGCATATTGCTTAGTGAAAGAAGCCAGTCCTAACTGGGTAGATACTGTATGATTCCAACTGTAAGGTATTCTGGAAAAGGCAAAACTTTAGAGACCATAAAAAGATCAAGTGTTGCCAGGGGTTCAGGGGAAGAGAAGGAGTGAGTAGGTAGAGCACAGTGATTTTTAGGTCAGTGAAACTATTCTGTATACTGTAATGGTGGACACATGACATGCATTTTCAAAATGCATAGAACTATGCACCACAAAGAGTGACCTCTAGTGAAACTATGAACTTTAGCTAATAATAATATACCAATATTGGCACATCAATTGTAACAACTGTACCACACTAATGCAAGATATTAATAATAGAACCTGGTGGGGGTGGGGTGGTACCTAGGAACTCTCTGTACTATCTGCTCAATTCTTGTAAACCTGAAACTACTCTAGAAAGTAAAATCTATTCTTTTAAAAAAGTAAACTAAAGTCCACTGACTGGATTTCAGATTCCTCATTGCAACTAACCTTTAAGAAACTACCACTTGTTGAGTCTGGATTTGGGATCAAAGAAAAATATTCGTAACTATTTGAAAAAGCTGTTAAAATACTCTCTTTTCCAACTCTGTATCTATGTAGGGCCAGATTTTCTTCATATACTTTAACCAAAGCAACATATCACAACAGATTGAATGAAGAAGCAGATATGAGAATCTGTCTTCTATTAAGTCACACAAAATCTAAAAACCATCCCTCTCGTCTCCCTAAATTTTTTTAAGAAAACAGTTATTTTCCTTTTAAAATGTTATTAATGTTACATGTAAAAGGTTTTTTTTAATTATTTTAAAACAAGTAAGTATTTTTACATTATCTCAGTTCTCATTTCTTATACAGTAAATTTGATAGATATAATCCACACAAACAAAAACAAAAATTTTAAGAGTATAAAGGGGTCATGAGAACCAGAAGTTTGAGAAATGATGCCCTGGGCCTATATGTTCTGGTTAAACTTTGATTTTTAGGCTATTTTCTGGACCACTTAATAAGTGATGTACTAACAGTAACTACATCTAATAGTAGTTACATAGAAGCTGCCAATATCCAGAAAGTAGCCATCAGGGCTATCATGGGTGTATGCAAAAAAAAAAAGATAAACACACACACACATACACAGATGTGTGTATGTATGCTAAGCATATCTTTTTTCTCAAGCATGAATTTGGAACGTGTTCAGTTTTCATTCTTAACGTTATCTTCCTTTATAATGAAACATTTCAAAGAATATAATAAAACATGAAGGTAAATAAAAAAACAGTGCAAGTCAAATTTATGGTGTAGGAACAGAAGGCTTGCTATTACAGCTTTTAATGGCAGATAGTTTACAATAAACACTGGGCTTAGCCTAGTAGAAAATAGTCACAGACAGGAGGTAATTACATGTCCATCTCCAAGCATCAGAAACTCTGGAGTCCCTCCAGTTGAATAATGCAGATCTGCCAACTGTCACTCATTTAGACTGAGGCTTTTTTTGGTGGTTGTTTTAATTAAATTGGGGGGGAAAAAAAGAACCTAAGATAAACCTCCCTCTGAAAGTGCTAAATTTCCATGGATGGATAAATCCATGACCCATCCTTTTACACTGTCTTTATTTGTCTTGAGTAAATCACACAGACTCCCATAAATAGAGTCACAGAGGCGAATGGAATGTATACGGTGTTAGAAAGGGCCTGTTGCCAGCAAATCTGACTATTACAGTGCAGGTTCTATAAACAGTAAGAGAAAAACAGATAGATCCCAATACAGATAACAAAAATATAAATGGACCTTTTAATGAGCTTTGCATCATCACATATGAAATAATAAATACACCCAAACAGAGATAAAAAGAGGAAGAGCAAAACTATGCAAAAATTCTGTCGTTAAGATATGTGGGCAGCATGGCTCAAAATAGAAACCAAGCAGCTTTCCAAAGACTTGAAGGTTTTAGATAAAGAAAATATAATCGCTCTAATTCTTGTTTAATCCTGTTCCCTTCAGCTTTTGTCAGAAACGGTTGCCCACCTCTGGTTATTTGAGGACAGTGGAACTGTTCACAGAAATATACCTGAAACAGATTCTCACAAGTACAGATTTTAATTCTGAGCCTTTTACATTAAAAAAAAAAAAAAGGGACCATAGCAAAATTCAAGGTTATGTGTAGGAAGAATAACCAAGATACAAATGCCATACATATTTTACGTTCATCTCCAATATGCCTCACAAATAACTTACATTTATTTTTGCTGTATGAATACTTCAGATTAAAGGGGAATTTAGTATCAATTCTTAAATTGTTAACTAAATAGGCTTCACGTGTTATTAACACCTTAGCTTATTTGCAATCAAGGGCTCTCAGTGTCACACTGTGTACTTACCCAGGATGGCTTCTTCTTGAAATGAAGAATGTGGGTAAGAGTAATTCTAATTTTTATTTGGGTTATCGTTTCATTGGCTAAGAGGTTGCCCCAGGACGCCAATGGAAACTTCCACTTCATTTCACAGTGAATGAAAACATTTTTCCTTATACAGCCCTGTATAGCAGAACTAGCCTATCCCATGGCATTGCTAATTATAGCCTGACATACGTTCAAAAAGAATTTTAAAATAAATAATGCTAGATTTTAGGAACAGTAATTATCTTTACTTTCAACTTCATTATGAAAATTTATGACACATCACAAAAATAACGTGGACAGTGAGAAAACGAATGAAATTTTAAAAGGAACTGAGGTACTTACTTTTCCACTATTTTTCCCTCTGGTACGGATGCCTGCTTCCATCAGCTTCACAGGACCTGGGCAAAAGTAAAGCATTATGGTATTAGATCACACATTTGGTAAACCGATAAAACTCAAAATTGAGTCTGAAGAAGTCTTCGCCTTAACTAAAAGTTTGCATTCAGAATGCTTACAGGTAGAATAGCCCCATGAGTGGGCTTTAATTGACCCTTATGGCGTTTTTCTAAAAACGGAATTAGTTGTCAACATTCACAAATCAGAATACTTCACAAAAACAGAAACACAGACCTGCACTTCCGTCTTCTTGAGCAACTGAGCAAATGAAAAGGTCTGGCAACACAGCACCTACACGGTCATGCCGGGGCAGAGGGACAGGAGCCGGGCATTGGCGGTTCCACTCGAAGGTGACCTGAGCGCCCAGCCAGCCCACTGTGCGCACGCGCACTGCCCGCTTGGCGCCTTTTGCGTGAGGCCCCTGTTGATGAACCACTCGCTCCAGCTGTCAATGAAGACAAGCCTGATCGGACTCACGTGTTTGCTTCATCAGGGTTCCTCCCTATCCCTTCCAAGAAAACCCTGTATTAAGTACAGAGTTTCAGGTTCCGATTGAACCTCAAATGAGCAGCCTTTAGGGCCATTGTCCCAGATCAGAATCACTTCAAATGTATCACTGATCTGGAGATTTTCTGGGAAGCAAGGGTTCATAGCCTTTACTTGAAGTTTCTAATCTACGTTGAGCTGGATAATGTATCTCAATTCAGAATGAAAGTCATTCTGCGACCAAACAGGAAAAAAAACTCGTGACGGAGGTATTATGGAAATGCTTCTCTGTGTATGAGACCGGGATGGGAAGAATTCCTAGATTCCGGACCCCACTCTGCCGCCAACAAGCGGTGGGACCTGAGGTGAGTCACTTAACCCATTAGCCTATGTTTCTTCACCTATAAAATGAAGCAGATATTTCTGTATTAAAACCCCAGGCCATACATGAGAATCACCGGGGGTGAGGGGGGAGGTTTAGAAAAAGATGCCCCAGGCCCCACCCTAGACCACCTGAATCTGATTCTCTGAGATGGGAGCCCTGGAATCAATATTTTCCTGACATTCCTCTCTGTGATTCTGAGGCACACAGAGGGAAACAATTCAACATGATCTCCAAGGAGAAATAAGATTCAACATAATCTCCAAAGTTCCTTCCCACTCTTCGATTTAATGGTTCCAGGGCTTGGGAGCAGATGCCAGGAGAAGAGTCACTTGCCCTGCTAATTTCTCCTTTATGTCAGATTGCCAGCAAAGCCAATACATTTCATATATATATATATATATATATATATATATATATATAATATATATATATTTCATTAAATCCCTAAAGGATGTCCAGACTGAAAGCCCCAATTCTAATATTCACTCTCTTAAATTCACTCTCCACAACCAGGGCATCACTTGTCCAAGGCACACTGATTCTCACATTGTAAACATTTTTATCCTGGAGATATGCCATTTAAAGATACAAAGAGCGTCATAGTATAAGATAACAACCAACCAGCCACACCCTTTGCAGGAACACCTGGAATGTGATGAATCCCAATTGAGATGCTTTGGAAGTGAAAAATAGATGCTGAATTTCAAGTATTTAGTACAAAAAAGTAAAAGAGCTCATTAATAATTTTTATGTCAATCACCTGTTGAAATGATGTTTTAATGTAGTGGGTTTAAGAAAATATATTATTAAAATTAAATTCTGTTTGTTTTTACTTTTCTAAATAAAATTACTACATAATTTTTAATTACTTAGGTGGCTCACATTATATATCTATTAGACTGTGCTGATTAAGAGATGTCCACTTTCTGAAACTTCGATTGATGTTTATAATGTTTAAAAGAAGACAGCTTCTCAAAATGAACTGAATTGGGGTTTGAAAAACATTTAATTACTAGTCTTTACTACCCAGGCTCCTACAAGGGGACTATTCTTAATAGAACTGACTGGACCTACACAGCTTCATCTGGATGGGGATACAGAAATGAAACCAAAAGCAGCCCTCTATGCCAATAGGACATGTCTGTACAGTCAAATATGACCCTGGGGAGAATCCTAGTGGAAAACTTCATGGGAGGATGATGTGGATACTGTTCATTTCCCCCTTCCTTCCACCCAACGTTAGGAATGTAATTTCATGATATCTACTTGTCCACGATGTTTTCCCCCAACTCCCGCATTCACTTCTGCCAGCTCTGTCCTGAAGCAGGAAAAATGCACATGGTAGAGGATGAACTAAGTCAGCGAGTGCATTTGGAGGGGACAGCAGCTTTGCTTTTTCATCACTGGTGTCTCAAATGCTTCAAAGCAGTTGTTTCTGCAGCCTTGTGGGATTTCCAGCCAAAAGGTCTCAGAAGAGCGGTAATCAGGCCCCGCCCTTGCGTTATCACCCAGCCACAACAGAGGGCTGGGAGGGAAAACAACGTCAGACTGAATGTTTGGAAACAGGGCCAGCTTTAAGTGCAAAGAGTAGGCAACTATCCAGGATATGTGAATTCAGAGGTGCCAGGAAGGCTCCAGCACGCTAGGAAAGACTCTTTTCTCCTTAGCCAGCTGAAAGTCTTCTCTTTCCTTAAGGCTTTGAAGCCTAGTAAACGCAGTGACTCCCAGGTGGCCCCCATACTGGTCATTCATACCTTAACGTGAGTACTTTTCAGATCAATTTGATTCCATAAGTATTGACTGACCACGTGTGGCTGCCCTAAGCAGAATTTGATAAGGCGGTTAGGAGCTCCCTTCCAGACTGGGAAGGAATGTCGGGGAGGAAAAGGGCAGAGACGGGGAGGCTGGGGGAGCTGGCGGCACTGGTGGAGCCTGCCTCTGGCACTGGCTTCCGGTGGAACGGAAATGATGCACCAGCAGGCCACACTGAGTAGAGCCTCCAGCAATACTTGAGGGCGCCCCATCCCTCACCGTGAGAACCCTTCTTTTCCCTCACCCCCCCCCACCGGCCCTTCCTTTTCCCCTCCACCCCCCCCCACCGGCCCACACCTCCCTCTGTTGTAGAGCTTGCTCCTCTTGTTTACTTTCCTTCCTCCCCCACAAGCACAAAGACCACGTCTTATTCCTCTCAGTCCCCAGAACCTAGCACAGCACTTGGCACTTCAGTGCTGCTTAGTAAGCGTTTGAGGAATGAATACATGACTGTATGTCTCTGCCTCATGGGGGGCACCAGGACAATCTATCATCCTGCTGATGGCACTTGGTTCCAAACCCCTGCATCAAATTCTGCCTGTGTTTCTAAACCTTGCATACAACATTCCGAAACAAAGATGAAGGGTAAGAGGCATGAGACAGGTCAGGACATGAAGTTACTGCCACCTATGTGCACACTTACCTGTTCAGATGCTGCCAAAACGTTGCTTAGCCGTTTCCCACGGACACTCGTTACTGCTTTATCTCCGACCTCAGTAGGTTTTGTTTACGAAGAAGACCGTTATTATGACTTATTTTGCTCTATTTTGTATCAAAATTTTTAAAAAGCAGGGTATATCAAAAGCCTACCCCCCACCATAGTAGATTATTACTCTTTTTAGCAAACTGACCCACCACCGCTTTCCAGCACTTGTGACCTGTGGCAAGTAAGTGCCTGGCACTCAGAAAGCTCACAGTTCTAGCAACAGTTGTGTAGCCTTGGATAAGGGACACAGGGACACTCTTTGTCCTCTGGTTTCTTCAGTGTATTAAAAGAGATAATGGTATATTCAATGGGTATGAAGAAAGCTTAACATTCGTCTGCATGAAGCTCTTTGAAATGCATGAAGGGCACTACAGTGTATAAATTTAACACTTGCCCTAGTGTTCACTCAGAATCCTTGTCCGAACAGCTATAACATCTCTCTGTGGTTGTGGGGACACACACACACACACACACACACACACACACACGAATATGTTTTAAATTGCTTAATTGCTTTTAAAATTTTAAAGTAAACACACTGAAATGATTATGAGGCATCTGTATAATGTATCCAGTGCAAGCCTGCCTCGATAAGAGCTATCTGAGAAACTAAATCACATCAATGCAAGAATAGCAATGAGCCAATTGATGAAATATTGCATTAGCAACGGCCTCTGACCCCGTATGATGCCAACCAAACGCTTTTCCCTCTCTTTGTAATTTAATCATTTTCAGTTAAATTAATTTCTTAAATTCCACTCAGATAAGCCTCCTGTGTTAAACACACACACACAGCCCTCCAGGTGTAGGTAAAATAAAGGACAAACTATACTCTGGATGTGACTCTCTCCCTCTGCTTGATTTTGGAAATGGACAGTATCTTTTTTTTTCTATATCTGATAAGAATTTTCCATAACTTCTTCCTGCTAATGTGTGATGTCAGGGGCTCCCTGCAATACCCCAAGACAGAGACTCTGTCACCACAATACAAAACTATGAAAATGCAGCCATAAGAGGCCCTACTGTGTCTCTGGCCTTTTTTTCTCTCTTTTTTCAAAAATTTAACATACACTAACTGGCTGGGAAGGTGGCTTTGTCGAGGCAGCAACTCTAAGAAGAGTGCTAACAAGTCCGTTCCGCACGTCTGTGCTCAGGCTTGCTGGGGGGGCTGTATTCCACACACATCCAGGAATTTGTTTGAGGACTGAGCGTGGTTAAGTAATGTTTCAAGAATGTTCTCTCATTATCCTGACTCAGAGGGTGCTGTGAGCCAAGAAGGGAGGCCGCACAGTGATACCTTCTGTTCCGTCTGGTTTTCAAGAACTGTCTTCCATGGCGCTGATGCCCGTGGACTGATGTCACTGAGCTTCATTGCTTCACATCTTCTCTTTACAGGGCGAGAGCAGGAGCCCTTTTTCCTGTTGACATTTTTAAAACTGGGTGATCTCAGAGCTGGTGGGTGGAGGGAGGGGAGGGGGAGCAGAGCGTGGAGGAGAGGCAAGAGGAACCCGGGAAGGGACCAGCGTGGAAAGAGAGCAGAGACCCGGCGACTGAAATGACCAGCCAAGAAATTTGCTGGGGAAAACAGAAATCGAAGAGCGGTTTGGCAAGTTCCTCTAGTAATGAGAAAGGCAGAGAGAGAAGAGAGGGGAGATGGGATGAGAAGGGAAAGAAGGGAAGAGGAAGGAGAGGAGGAGGAGGGCAAGAAAGGAAGAAAGAGGGAGTAAAAGGAGCACGACTTGGTGTGTGACAGAAGTGCATCACTAAGGGACATTCTGAGGAAACTCACTGACACCAGAGACTGGAAGTTAAGGATCGGGACAGACTACCCAAGGTGGGCCCTCTGGTCTTGTCTATGCCCTGGAAGTAGAAGAATTAGCTTGATAATTCATCTTTCATCATCGTCTTGTGCCACTGGCCAAGCATGTACTTGAATGACATTTTGACGTTTCCTCAAAGGCTAGAATAGGGATCAAGAGGTCACATCTACCAGTTCTGGTAAGAACCTCCTCACAGGTCTCACATGATTTGTCAGACACGTGCACATATGCACACCTGCACACATAGGCACACAAGTGCAATTATATTCAATAGATTGTGATAATCTATAATGAAAAGAATATATACGTATATAACTGAATCACTGTTCTGTACACCAGAAACTAACACAACATTATGAATCAATTATACTTCAATAACAATAAAAAATTTTTAAACTTAAAAAATAAAGGTCAAAACACTCCATGGCTTTCCATTGTGCTTAGAATAAAACCCAATCCCAAATCTTGCAACCTCACCAGCCTTCCCACACAACAGTCCTCCAGCTATACTGGCTTCCTTTCAGCTCTTGAGTCCCCTAAGCTCTCTCTCACCTCAAGACTTTCCCCATGTTATTTCCTCCACCTGTGCCCCTTTTCCACCCTCAGAGAGCTGGCTCCTCTTCATCCTTCGGGTCTCACCCA